AGAAAGAACACGTATTTCGAGACAGTTCGTTCAAGATCAGTTACCTGCACACGGTCCGTTGGAGACGTTTTCACCATAGGTACAACTTGTGCATTTGTAACTGGCTGTTCCATCACTAAGTGCAGTGCAAGTACCACCGCCACTATTCGAATTGCATTTAACGGAGGTGCATGGATTAGCTGAAAGAAGAAAATAGAAAGGATGAGATGAACTGTATTGTCTGATGCTTTTTCCTAGATTAGGTACCTGGACATGGTGCATTGGTCGTATTGACACCGTAAGCACATGCAGTGCATGTATAAGCGTTGGCTTGAGTTGTCGTTAGAACACAGTTACCGCTGCCGCCTGTTGCATTACAATTGATCGACGCGTTGCATTTCATGGCTAAAAAGTAATAAATAAATTAAGTTGTGTTTTAGGTAGTGAATGAATCGTAGTTTAAAGAAGGTTGAGAGTAAGTTAGACCTCACTCCCACAGCCTTTCTCTTTCTATTGAACTTACATAAACATGTCTTTGTTGTTGCATCACAATTGTTATTTGAGCAATCTGCGTTTACGAGACAGCTCTTGGTATCCGCACACGCTGAGCAAAACCGACCGCCACAGTCGACATCTGTTTCATCTTGGTTATGAATGTTGTCGGTGCAGGTTTGTGCTAAAAAACATAGAACGATGATTAGTATTATTCTCATTGTTGCAAGGTAGTCTTGTCTATAGATAACTGTATAGGCTGAGATTCGATTATTTATTACAATAATAAAAAAATCTTATTCTTAAACTAATTCATCAACTTGGTCATTTTCTTCTACAGATACGTCGTCTTTTATAGAACACTTATCATTGTAATAACAGGTTGTATGAAGATAATGAAAATATGCAGGAGTTTCTATAAAGCATGTCATTTTTATTTTTAATATAATATTATTCGCCGATCATATAATATTATTTTTCTAATTATTTATTATTCTGTAATGTATCGCAGCAGAAGGCGTATGAGACAAGAGCATATTATTACGAAATGATCGTACAAAACTTCATCTGAATTCCTAGTTTTTGTATATTCTTTCAGCAGGTCTTATTGAGTTGAATTTCTACGTGAACTGAGCTATATTGAGCTTTCACTGAGAAATGGTTTGAAGGAATCAGTTTTTTTCAGAAATAATTAACTTTTCGACTGTAATTTGTAAATAGTTTAGACTGTACATAAACGAAAAGGGATTAGTAATAAACTATGAAATCTAAGGAGATGTCAATGTTTTTTTAGAGCATCTTCGAGTATTTTTCTCGATAAATGCCCATTACCTTTCTTCCGATGTCGAACAAGGGAAAATGCTATATTCTATTAAGGCAAGGATGAAAGCACATAAAGAAGAGAGAAAAACTTACTTGTGGTTTGACTTGTCACCGAGCAAATCATAAGCTGAAGCTCAATTGATGCACTCTGTGTTAGTTGGATTGATGCCTTCAATACAGTAAGACCGCGAATGGCAATGGTGATATTGTTGAGGAATCTTGTTGCACAATTGCTTGTAATTAAGTTGCCACACCGCTTTGGATATGATACCGCGAAAGTAGTTTGGAGGAAGTCACCTGTCAGTGGTGTATTACCACTCGCATCACACGAAAATATACTATAGAGATTCAAAGATATTTACTTCATGATATCCTATACACAAAAACCACTTACCTTCGGCGTCCACGCGTTTCTGCTTGGTTCGCGAATTGCGCAACGGTCGCTGTTAATGTACCAGAATCGATTCCGGCCTCCTTCTCAACCTAGAAAAAGCAAAAAAAAAGAGCTATTTTTTTCCAGCACAATCCAAAACGAAGAGTAAGTGTCTCTTTGAAACGACTGAAGCCATGATTATTTGATTCATGTCTAATTCCAATACCTATCTGTTTGCAGAATCAAGATAAAGTATGTAAGTATTTCTATGTCTCGTATACTTCGGTTATATATAAAACTTCTGAAAGAATTTTTTCACAACTTGAAAAAATGTACAACAACATATTTCCTCTTAAAACTTGACTGTCATTACTGCTGTTCACGAACAGCGGACTGATAGGAAATAACTATATTTGCAAAAAAACCATAGAATGAATTTAGACAAATCGAGCAATACTCGATTATTTTCTTTCAATTCGTTTTAAAAACTATGGTGTATCATAAGTAGAATAGTTATGATATTAATGGATTTATATGACACTACAAAGAGTCAAACATGCTGAAAAGTAAACCTTCGTTACTTATCGAAATGAAAATCATGAACAAAGAGTATAGACAGCTAATATTTTCATCATGATTCATTGACGAAACAGTCAAAAATAATGGATACGTTGACGCAATGATTTCACCTAAAGACATATACGTTGGTTTTAGATTACGAGACAAAGAAAAAGACGGAAAGTGAACACATATACTGAAGGATATATTATTTTAGGTTTGTTGATGTCGCATAAAATGGATTGGGAACAATCGGGCAGATACCTAATGATTCAGAAAAGTTTGCTTATAATATTTTGAAGCACGATAAATGTGATAAAAATTTGCAGTTCTGTACACACTTAAAAGAAGCTCTCCGCAACGGCAGATGGATTTATCCTAGTAGTTTCTATTCGTGAAATAATAAAGGCCTACCTGTCTTGCCAAATCTTGCATGTTTTCAACAGTTGGCCGCGTACTATCCGATGATGGTGAGAAATCCGTCGAAAACGCCAAATTCAATACCGTCCCTATGATGATAAATAACCATAAATAAAGACCTCTATAAAGTTATTATCATTCACTCACCTTTATTTGTTGCCGTAATATCCCTTGTGCTGAGATAGACTGGGACCAAGCTGAGGGCCACGACAGAAGCTATTGTGATTAGGCCAGTTGCAGTACAACAACTAGCAAGTAGGCATCCCATCCACTCTTGCCTGCAAAAAGAAATTCGATTACTGTGTATTGCGTGAAAAAGGACAGCAGGCACTCACTGTCGGCGCAACCAGGTTCCGAAGCCTTGCTCATTAGTCCTTGCCCCTTGATTACTGAGCATCTTTAAGTTCGCATCTAGATCAAAATAGAACAAGATACATTATTGACCAGTTCAAATTAGCATATAAAGATGTCTCTTCCTTCTACAAGAATATCTAAGATGGGTGTGAGTGTGTGATGTATGATAAATGAAGACAATATCCACACCCACACCCTCAAAATGGTCTGGTATTTTTGGTAAACCTGTTATTGAATGAATGTTTCATCCAATAAAATTATTTATAAGAATTTAGTGATTCAAATAATATTATTCTATCCATAGAGTTCTTTTCAGACGTGATATAACAGAATTGCTTGTCAATTAGCTGATATAAACAAAAATCTTTCTAGTTATTGCTGGATTGGATGGGCTTGAAGAAGTCAAGGCTCGGCCTAAACCAGAGCCAATATTCATAGTTGATCTGCTATGGGAAACTAAATGAACTTAAGTAAAAACTACGATCATTGCGACGTACTCATAAAAAAAGTAGTAATATGCAAATATTATATAAAACTTGATCAATCTATATAACGACGAGAACATCAAGTTAAATATAAGCTCTTTATAATTTCGAAATATATTTAAGTTTTATATTTTCTCAAATGGTTATGTAGTCACTCAGATATGATATAAGTTGTCGCTATTTTGTGGCAATACCAACAACTTATTTGTTTATACTACGCTCGAACAGTTCATAATATTGGATAAAAACACTGCTTACCTTTTTTATTGCGTATATAAAGCTTGATTTTGAATGTGAAAATATTAATAATGTTGGTTGATTACATATCAGTAGCTCCTCCGCATCTCTCTTTCTTATTTTTCCGTTTTCGCTTTCACTGTTCTTACATATTTTTTACATTTCGTAATGATGTTATGGCTCATTAGTCAGGCTATTATCGATTTTTTCGAACTATCAGTGTCTTACGTCAATACCAAGAGAAAATATTTGTACGTCAGTGATAATAAAAAAATACATATTACAACATTAATATTTTTCTGCAATTACAATCGAACATATATACGATGTCCGAAAACTCTCTTTCAAATAATTTTCTCATATTTCCTTTTTATTTTATTTAGAAGATCGGCCGATAGATACATGAAGTTTTGGTTTATATGAAGAACCTTTAAAAAACACTATTCAAAACTAAGACCTTTAA